ACTCGCCAGGGTGGAGGAAGGAGAGGAGCTAGCCTTACGCTTCTGATTCAAAAAGACAGGCGTCCCAGCAACAATGTACTGGGCAACAGATTCTAGTGTCTCAAAAGGAGAAACAGAACGAGAGCAAACCACGACGGCCGTTGGGAGTGTTGGACATCAGCCTGCACCGACAGGCGGCATGGAGAGCGAAGAGACGGAGGAGAAGGATGGGAAGGAGGATCGGAGGGAGACGAGGAAGAAAACACAGGAGACACGACAGACTGAGAAGAAAGAAGGGAAACCCCAGACAGAGAGGTAGGAGGGGGACCCTCCGGGACAGAATGCAAAGGAACAGAAGAGGAGGCAGTAGGCGTGTCTGGGTCTAAGGCCCGGAAACGGTTGTAAGACTGAGGAAGGCGGGAAGGATGAGGAGAGGAAGAGCGCAACACGCAAGCATAAGAGACGTTAGCATAAGGGGGAAAACGGCAAACTTGGCGCCTCGCTTCAGGAAAAGACAAACGTTCCCTGTGCTTCAAGTTGAGGATGGCTGCCTCAAGCTTGTAATGCACGGGAGAAGGTAGGGTGGGCCTCACCGCAATTGAGGCAGCGAGCCTGGGGAGAAGTGCACTCCGACTTAGAGTGACCCTCGTCCCCACACATAGGGAGGAGAGAGTACTGGAGCAACGGAGGGCTCCATGCCCAAACCTCCAGCACTTATTACAGAGCCGAGGAGAGGGAATGTACTCCTGGACGGAGCACCTGGCATCAGCAAGAATGACAGAGGGCGGAAGGGTCCTACCATCAAAGGTAATCTTCCCAACCCAAAGAGGTTGACGGCGACGACCACGAAGGGAACGAATAAACGAGTCCACTTGGAGGACAGAATGGCCTTGGGCTTCGAGGACATGCCGAATATCTTCGTGGCAGTCCTGCAGATTCTGAACACCGGTCGCAACATGGGGCAGGAGGAGAATAGTGCCAACACTGGCATTCAACCAAGAGTTCTTGGAGACCCGAACAGGAGTCTCGCCAAGGCAGGATAAGGCGACCAAGCGGGAGGCTGCATCCTGAGGAGCAGCAGCAACGACACTCGTACCGAGACAGGTGGGGTTGAAGGTAAGAGAGGCATCTACTGAATCAACAAGGTGCCTATGGAGGGAGAAATCGTCAGGAGGCGCAGAATCAAGAGGGAGAAGATCAAAGTATTTGGCCCATGAAACGGGACCAAACAAGGCTTGAAACGCATCAGTACGGGAAGGAATCGAGCGAGCGCAGCAGTGGTGAGGACGGAGTTGAGAACCCCAGAGAGTGAGGGTAAAAGGCGCAGTAGTCACTAATAGAGACTGAGCCGTGCCAGGGGACGAGGTGGTTACCACTGGGGGCTTGGGGCATCCAACCACAGAGGAGGGAGAGGAACAGAGGGGGAGTAGTCAAGGGGGTTCCGAGGAGGAGCAAGGTCGGGGCCCAATGCAGCGGAGTCTACAGAGTCCGGTCTTCCAACACGGTCCGACTCGGGGGCTTGGTCGCCCAGCCCACGAGCCCGAGAAGGGAGGAAAGGAACAGAATTAGACCTAAGGACGAGAGGAAAAACATTCATTCACGAATGTGCCCCCATACCCACCATGGAGCCACAATTAGAAGCAGAACACCCAACAAGAAGCTATCACCGATCATGCCGGGGTCCCCCTAGGGGTACGTCGTGAGTATATGCCGTACAAACGCCACCTTAAGAACTGTCAGTCCGTCGAGATCAGGTTCAGTGACGAAAGGATAGACAAAAAAAAGGTTCCCCTCGCTCTCGACGTTGGGTACTACAGTCCTACGGGCGTAAGAGTATGCCTCCCCAAGCACGCGGGCGTCAAAATAGAAGAAGTCCAAAAGAATAACAAAACAAGCAAAAGGTTGGCAGGAAATGACAAGCAGATAGGAGAAGAGGGGGGAGAAAAACGAAACATAAGGAAAAGGAAAAGCAATCCGGCACAATTGGAGAGGACAGCAGCAGGAGCATATGGCCACAAAAGGACATTAGGGCTGTCCCATGGAGCATCACACTCCGGCAGCCGACCACCAAGCCCCCTCACGGCGCCAGGGCCGGATGGGGAGGGGGAACGGGCCAGATAGGGAGGGGTGACAACACAAAAATTTACGGTATCAAACATTTCTATAGGGTGTTGCAGATGAGCTAATGGGTAACGCTTGGCCGACTTGGCGTTGTTGCGGGTAGGGCATGCCAGGGTTTTGGACTTTATATGCATATGAAACTGTAGGGAATTCTATTGCAAACACATTGATATGATAATGAATGATGTAGCACGAGAATTGAAGTGAGAGAGAAAAAAAAAAAAAAAAAAAAAAAAAAAAAAAAAAAAAAAAAAAAAAAAAAAAAAAAAGAGTACAGTGGTACCTCGGAATACGAGTGTCCCTGTATACGAGTTTTTCGGAATACGAGCAGGATTTCCTCGGAAAATGTGCCTTGGAAGGTGAGGGTTACCTCGGAACGTGAGTTTGTTGATACGCGTTCAGGCCGACCTAGTGCGTGGTGGTACGGCGATCGTCGCCCCTTCGCCCCTCAGTTTACCTGTGTCTCGCGCCAGTGACTATCCCATATCAATTCTTCACCCGGATTTTCAGTGTTTTGTTGGATTTTTGGTCATTTGACTGTAAAAGTTGTTATTATATATTTCACCATGAGTCCGAAAAAGCCAGTGGTAGGGATCAAGGCAAGAAAGCCCATGTGAGGATGACAACAGAGAAACAAGAGATCATTCGGAAGCATGAGAACGGTACACGTGTTGTTGAGCTTTGTAGGCAGTACAACAAAGCCACACCAACAATATGCACTATACTTAAGAAGAAAAATGAGATTATGGGTGCTAAAGTGGCAAAAGGAGTAAGAACAATGACGAAACAAAGACTACAAATACTTGAAGTGGAAAAGTTGTTATTAATTTGGATACACGACAAGGAATTAAGGGGCGATAGTGTTTCGGAGGCCATCATTTGTGAGAAAGCCAGGGTATTGCACGAAGACCTTGTAAAGAAAACCCTTGGAACGAGTGATGCAGATACGAAAGAGTTTAAGGCAAGCAGGGGCTGGTTTGAAAAATTTAGAAAAAGAAGTGGTATCCATAGTGTTGCGAGGCATGGGGAAGCAGCCAGCTCAGACAAACCAGCTGCTGAACGATTTATTGACGAATATAAAGAGTTTGCAGAGGCTGAGGGATACCTACCGCAACAAGTGTTTAATTGTGACAAAACGGGACTGTATTGGAAAAGAATGCCTAAGAGGACATACATTACCAAGGAGGAAAAATCCTTGCACGGACACAAGCCTATGAAAGATAGGTTTACGCTTGTGCTGTGTTCAAATGTGAGTGGCGATTTGAAAATTAAACCCTTGCTAGTGTATCATTCTGAAAATCCAAGGGTTTTCAAACAGTATACAGTGCAGAAAACTCAAATGTGTGTGATGTGGAAGTCTAATAAAAAAGCATGGGTGATTAGGCTAATTTTTTCGGAGTGGGTGAATGAAGTTCACCTGCCATAGAAAAATATCTGCAGGAGAAACATTTGCCACTCAAGGCCCTGCTTCTCCTCGACAATGCTCCTGCTCATCCTCCAGAATTGGAAGATGATTTGTTGCCCAGATACAATAAATTCCTCAGTTAAATTCCTTCCTCCTAACACTACTCCTCTAATTCAGCCTATGGACCAGAAAATCATAGCAAATTTTAAGAAACTTTATGAAAGGGCACTTTTCCGGAAATGTTTTGAAGTGACTGAAACCACAAACCTCACTCCCAAAGAGTTCTGGAAACACCATTTTAACATTCGTAGTGCTTTAAAACTCGTTGACAAAGCCTGGCAAGAAGTGACTCAAAGAACCCTGATCTCTGGCTGGAGAAAATTGTGGCCCGAATGTGTAACAGAACTAGACTTTGAGGGGTTTGAGCCTGTAAATGATGCGCCTATTGTTGACAAAATTGTTACTCTGGGCCGGCAAATGGGCTTGGAATTGGATGGTGATGATGTGAAGGAGTTGGTGGAAGAACACAACGAAGAACTGACCACCGACGAACTCCAAGCCTTTCAACAGGAACAGCAAGACAACGCAGCTGATGATTCTCCAGTGGAGGAGGAGGAGGCAGTAGTGAATGTCCCTTCTGGAGAAATTAAGAAGGTGTGTCAGACGTGGGAAGAGATTCAAACTTTTATTGAAAACTCACCCAGAGAAAGCTGTAGTAGGCTGTTGCCTTAATCTTTTCAATGACAATGTGATGCCTTACTACAGAGACAGCTTGTGAAGAAGGGAAAAGCAAGCTTCCATGGACTGTTGAGAAAATCGAGCAGCGAGCCACAACCAGGACCTAGTGGTACTCAGACAAAACGTGCCAGGGAGTGCACACAAGAAAGGTCCTCACTGCCTGATGTGATAATGGAAGGGGACTCCCCTTCCAAACAGTAACTCCTCTCCTCCTCACCATCTTCCATAGGCCTACAGCATTCATCAACAAGGGTAAGTAATAACTTGAACATAGTTTTGTAGGTTTATTTAGATGAATTAGGTATAAAAATTTAGTTTGATGTGGGGATTTTGGGGTAGTCAGGAATGGATTAATTCATTTCCCATTATTTCTTATGGGGAAATTAGCTTCGGAATACGAGTTTTCGGAATATGAGCTGTCTCCAGGAACGGATTAAACTCTTAAACCGAGGTACCACTGTACACACAATTTATCGCTAGTTCCGCGCTCACAGCAAACGATCCCCAAATTTTTGTGCTTAGTGAGGGTTGCATGCCGGGCTTTTGGACATTATATGCATATACTCTTGTGGGAATTCTATTATAAATAATTTGATACCAAAATGAAACACGTACAGCAAAAATGGAGGTGATAAAACAGACAATAGTACACACATTTCAGTGTCGCCGCACGGTCGCCTGAAACTCCAGTAGCACTTACGGGAAGTCTAGGGGGCTCACGCGTGGAGTGCGAAAGTGTTAAGTAAATAAAAAAAAATGCATTTAACTTTTTTATTACAGGATAAGAAAAAATAGTTAAATAATTAACTTATTCATAAAAAAACAAAAGAATCTCCAAATACAAAACAGCAATGTAAGAATTAAAGAAATAATGGTTTAGATTACCTGGCTTGAAATCAGTTTATAATTCTAACAACCTAGTTTTAATTATTTGTTCACAGTTTCTACAAAACACAGCAGTTTTAGTTAATATATAAATGAACGTGGCCTCTAATAATTATGTTCACTCACAAAATAAGTTTGACTATTGGCATAAATTCCTTGACCATTTAAAAACAGCTTGATTGCAACTTTGATATTATTTCCATATGGTATACAGTACATACAAAAGTATCCTAATAATGTAATATACATACAAGCAATGTTTCAAATATTTATATAGCAAATTTACAGTAAATCAATGGACATCCTGGATAATTAATGCTGATTACCTAAGGCTTATGGCAAATAAATCGATATATTGCATACACTTCCCACTGTACGCTAATGATACACTCAACCATGTGTGTAATGGATATATATATATATACAGTATAACCACACACTTGATCCACTTCTAATAGAAAAAGTCTTCATCACCAAGATGTTACAGAAATAAAACAATAATAATCGCTGATAAGAACTAAATTCAGCCTTCATTATTAAAAACTTATTATAAATACTAAATACAATTTCCAGGATGAGGCATTTTTTACATTGAACCAATCTCATGAAACTTAAATGTTAACAGTGTAAGTGCAAAAAGGAAATTATTCCTTAATGTGGATGTGTGTGAATCGTAAAAACAATTAAGTTTAATAGAAACTTGGAGATTACTGCCATAATTTACAAATTTTATGCAGCTGAAGGAAGGCACCTGCGTGCCTAATGTTGCTCCTTATGTACTCAATACGCCAATACCTGAGGCTTACTAGCTAATCTATGCAAACATTGGGCTCCAGACAAATTTTGTGCTGAAATTGCATTTGACTAGACAAATGATATATTAAGTTACTTATCGATATTTTGTCTACAATATTATTCAAATATAAAGCCTATGTTCGCTCCAACATGATCTCAAGTAAGATTATATCCGATGTCTTAATATACACAAAAAAATTAACTAATACAAAAGTTTCTTGTTGAAATTTACTCATAAATGAGTATGCAAAAATGGTAAAAAGTATAACTTGTGTGTTTTCAAATATATCCAACCTTCAGTCAACCTGAAGATGAGTGAACAAGATACAGGAAAAAAAGATATTTCAATCATTACACTGTTTTAGCCTCCATTATTTCATTTTAGTCAGTATATAATTGTTATTACTTGCAAAGCTTTTACTGATCAAGTTGTTAAAATGACCACTATATCAAACATATATAACCCATGACAGAACATGTCTTATTAATAACAAGAAATGACCTATTTTATATTTTCCTAAACAATAAATTTGGTCATGGCCCCTCATGAGTATGACATAATGAATACCAAACAAATCTTCTACACTGCTTTCTAGACATACTCCTCGTGTTGTATCCCTTCAGTGTAAGCCTTGCACTCAGGTGCTTCTTCCATACATGTTAATTAGCAGAAAGAAGGGTAGAGAGCAAGGCTACATGCTCTAAATTGTCAAGTGTAGTTAGCCTCGGTATTCATCATGCACACAGTAAGTATATTATGTATGAGCCTCAACCTCATAATTTGTTAAAAGCACAAGCCTAAGTTAAATAAAAGAACCATCAACAAAAATAACCGACTATGCAAAATTTGACATAGAATAAAATTTGCATACAATTAAAGTAAACTATTTTTAAAGTAGTACAAATACAGACCAGGAACTGTTTGTGATGTACATCAACCCAAGGAAATTGGATTTACACGAAGATTAATATCAAACTCTTCCTATCATTTATTCGTAAAACCATAATCCTTCGTACCAATCACTCGCGACTGGCAAGATACAGTTATACTTTCTGATTCAAGAAGAGTTGAAATATTTATAAAATGTATGACAAATTGCTAAACTTTAAAGAAATCTAGTTAGAAAGAAATTAGAAAAGTCCTAAAGACGTCTTTTACTCAGTAAAAAGCAATGGCTAGTAATGGTTGGAAACATAGTGGTAAATATGTTATACAGCACCACCAACCCAACCATACTTGCTCCAGTTGGGTTATCATCATTCTCCTCTTAACAAGTCCTGTATTATGCTCAACAACCTCATATACAAACTTTATTAGATAAAATAGTAACATGTCACAAAGCAGCAATACTTTAAGTAGACATTCAGTGCAGGTAGCACTGTTTAATAAACAAAATACTACTAATAAAATCAGCAACTATATAGCTTTTATACATTTAAAGGGGCCTTTTACATTACTGTATACTACATACATACATAAAAGAGGAGGGCTTTTCATTACTCAGGAGTGAAATCTGAGTAAGTCATTTTTTCATGAAATAATAAAGCATTGTTCTTTCATTCTATAAAATGGTCACTACATTTCCAGAAACCATGCAATTGAAGCTCATAAACCAAAAAAATTACCATCTGATACATTTTTAAGGGACGGACTTCCTTTCTTTCACACTGCTTATACGTAATTATATAAAAAGAAGTGTAAAAGCATAAACACTTAACAGAAATAATATTGTAATTAACTACTGACGACAAGGAATAAATCTGCCCTCCCGAAATATTACATGGCCAACTGAATTACTAAATGTTACAACACTAATATTTAATTCACTAGCCACAAATAATAGTAAATACCCCTTTTAGATGATATGCTGAAAAGGCTAAGCAAAACTCTTGAATGACAGGTCTAAAGAATCTAATGAATAAAAATGTTAAGTTGTGACCAATTTACAGGCAAGTAAAAAATATAATTTTGTATTTCACACCACTTATGCAAGAGAATTGTTAATTGTAGTTACCTCATACATATGAAATAAGGATAACCATCTGAAAAATACTTAATAGGAGACTGTAAATGACATGTAAACAATATAAAGCCAAATATTTACACCTGAAAGACAGGCTCCGTGACTTACGGTTCATATAAAAGACAGCTTTATAAAACAACAAGATGGTTGACTGCTAGAAGCAGCATCTTCACCTTTTTATGATTTGGATTTACAGACAAGTATGCGTTCAGGTTACGTTGAAATCCTTGTAAGACTGGTCGCATGTGTTCACGTGTTACAGGATGAGATGTATCCAAGTTCATAACTGCCTCTTCCAAATATCTAAGGGCAAAACAATGAAGGATATTTTAGTGCACGACTAATGTCAGATACTGTACAGTATAACTAAAGGTATTAATTATTCAAATCCCAATTTAAGAACTACACCTCATGGCCATTAATTGTATTACTATTTATATATACAGTATACAGCATTACTTATTTCTCAGCTGACCTATCAATAGCTCCCTGGTGCATTAATTTTGATGCAACCTTCTCCCCCCCCTCCCCCCAACACACACACACATTACCTTCTGGTAACAATCTACCTGAAGGAATACAGAATCATATGAACATGTTTGCAGATGATGATAAGATACTGGGGAAGATAGGAGATGCAGATGGTTGGAATGCCCTTCAAATTGATCTAGATAAATTAAGTGCTTGGAGTGTCAAGTGGCAAATGGAATTCAATGTGAATAAATGCCATGTTATGGAATGTGGAATTAGAGAAAAATAGACCACCCCACAACTTATAAATTATGTGGAAAGGAATGACAGAACTCAAATAAAGAGCAAGACCTAGGGGTTGTTTTGGATAGTAAGCCATCGTCAGAAGAACACAAAGAACATTGTGAGAGGAGCACATAATTTCTAGCTTCAGCCTTGCTTTTAATTACATGGATGGTGAAATACTAAAGAAACTGTTCATGACTTTTGCAAGACCAAAATTGGAATATGCAGCAGTTGTATGGTGCCCATTTCTCAAGAAGCCCATTAATAAAATAGAAAGGTGAAAAGGCATGCTACAAAATGGCTTTCGGAACTAAAAAATAAGAGTTAAGAAGAGAGGATAGAGGCATTAAATATGCCAAGGCTAGAAAATAGAAGAGAGAGAGGTGATATGATCACTACTTGCAAAATAATAATAAGAATCTACCAAATTGACAAATAGGAATTCCTGAAACCAGCAACTTCAAGAACAAGAGGACACAGATTCAAACTAAGGAAACAAAGGCACCAACAAAATATTAGAAAGTTTTCTAGTGTAGTGGGGTAGATGGTTGGAACAAATTAACCCTTACACGGCTCAGGGGTCCTTGGGACATTTACACCCCTGTGCGCAAGAAAAAAAAAATTCAAAACTTTTTTTTCTTGTTCTAAACATGTTAATTTGTCCCCCCTGAGCACGGAAAAAAAAAAAAAAAATTGTAGGCGACATATTTTGGGCGCAATTGACCGAGAAAGTCTGGCAAATAGTGGGCGTTGACAGAGCGGTCGTCAGACCCGGTCAGCGTCACCCGCGCTGACAGATGGGAGTTGCCACAAAGATATTATTACCTAATTGTTTCAATGTCTCCGATTGATTTTTTCTTAGTTTTTTTGCAGTAACATTATTCAATAGTGTGTATTGTAATATATTTATGTAATAAAAGTGGTGAATAATCGCTATACTCAAAAGTATGATGTGCATATTAGTGATTCAATTATTATGTTTACAAAACAATAAACAAATAGTTTTGCTGCTATTACACTCTATACACAGGTTATATATAAGTACAGTATCTGCATGTTTTGGTCACCATAACGAACCACTAAGTTGGTATTGAGAGTCGAAAAGCAATGAAGAGTTACCGCCACACACCAGCCAGCCACTCGCTGCCACTCCCTCAACACACGCACTAAACTTTCTCCCCCAACAATACCATTTGTGGTGTTATTACACTATATACAGACGTTATATATAAGTATATATATATTTTGTTCACCACAACTGTACAGCTAAGCTGATATAGTTAGTTCAGGCACTAAGAGTCGTCGCTCTACACAGATGGCGGCTGGCGGCTCCCTCACTCTTTCAAGGTCACACGCACTAAACTTTCTCCCCCAACAATACCTTTTGCAGTTTTATTGCACTATATACACATATTATATATAAATATCTACATGTTTTATGCACCGTGACTGTACACCTAAGCTTGTAGTGCGTCCAAAGAGCATAGTGGCCACCCTCTAAACAGCTAGACAAATCATGCAGACGACGTCACCTCCGTCACCCATATGGCTCCTCCCAGCATAATCCTTTTGCTGTTATTACACTAATACACACATTATATATAAGTATCTACATTTATGTTCACCATAGAGAACCACTGACCTGGTATGGTGAATGCAAACAATAACAGGTAGCCACACAGTCAGTAAACGATGCTGTCTCCCTCCATCTCTCAGCATCACTCCTCCCACAGCGCTAATTATTACAACAATCCTGCTATTATCACAACCCTGGTTATTTATATCACAGTCATGGGTCATCTGTAATATTGTCATCGCTAAATAATAACAATTATATATTTATTTTGACATTTTTCGGCGATGCTGTGGTCACAAGCTGAACAGCAATGCTGTTCGCTAATGCTGCGTGCGCCGGCCTTGGTTGCTCCAACAGTACTGTGCCTCTCACACCTGAGAATATTGCCCACGATTTTTTTTTTAAATGGCATCTCTTTACAAGAGCCCTGAGGAAGCTACTGTGAACCCCGTGTAGCCACGGGCCATTTGAATCAGGCCTGGCACCCTATGGCGTATATATACGCCATGCGCACCATGGGACATGTTACTCAGGGCGTATATATACGCCATGCGATGTTTAAGGGTAATTAAGTGAGAAGGTGGAGGAGGCCAAAACCGTCAGTAGTTTCAAAGCGTTATATGACAGAATACTGGGAAGAGGGGACACCATGAGAGTAGCTCTAATCCTGTAACTACACTTAGGTCATTACACCCCGTCCCATACACACACACACACACCCACCCGATCCATAGAATTACCCAAATCCTGCTAGCATTATGTAAGTATTAAAGAAATATGGTATATTTACTCACTAAATAAATGCCATGTTGGTGCTGAATGCAGAACATAATAAAAACTATTTTTACCCTGAAATAATCTCATCTCATAAGAAGTAAGAAATTAGAAGTAAATATATAGCAGGTGACGCCATAGGAAGTCGAGGGTCCAAGCGACAATGTTGTGGAGCGACTTATCCAAGATATATGGTCACCTGGAGTGTGTTTGCTGCCATATCAGCCTCCTGTACACAGTGATCCAGTTGTTGCACTTTTTTGTTCAAATTGTCACAAATTTAATTGATGATATTAACAAGTAGAATGCAAATTTATAATAATATCTTTCATAAGTAGGCACAAAACATTTAATATTTATTTAAAAAAAAAAAGTATCAGGAAGATAAATCAAATCAGCGTCGTAAAAGTTTCATGCCAATATTTTCAGAAATGGATTTTAGACAATTTTTTTTAAATTAAACACAACATTATTAGTGATAGTAACAGAATTTATTTCATGTGAATTCCATCTTCATTGGCCTCTGAAAGCATGATGATAATGCCAAAATTATGAGGATAAAGACAGAGTAAAATAGAAAAAGACTTCAAGATGACCTGAACAAACTTAAGGAATGGTCCAGAAAATAGCTACTAAAGTATAACTCAAGTATAAAGATACTCGAGTTGATACTTAGATAATTCCAGTAAGTGTACAGGTAAGTGCTGACGATATTACCTTCATTTATTCAGACCCCAACCCAAACGCATTAACCCTTAACGCTTAAATTGTGCATCGCATCATGTGATGCTTTGACCGACTTGCAGTAAATTGCGCATCGCGTCATATGATGCTTTGGAGTACTACGCAAGATTTAAACGGCCCGCGGATACACGGGGTTCACCACACCTTCATCAGGGCTCCTGTAAACAGACACCATTTTTTAAAAAAATCGTGGGCCAAATTCCCAGGTGTTAGGGGCCTCAGTATTGAGTGAGCTACCAAGCCTGATGCACGCAGCATGACCTCACAGCACTGCTGTTCAGCTTGTGACCACAGCATCGCCTAAAAATGCCAAAATATACTTGTTCATGCTATTATGTAGCGATGATATTATTACAAAAGACCACTGACTGTGATAAACTGACCAGGGTTCTGATAATAGCAGGATTGTGGTGATATTTAGCGTTGTGCTCCATGGAGGGAGGAGTAATGCTGTGGGAGGGAGGGTGGTGGCGTTGCCTTCTGACTGTGTGTGGCCACCTTTTATTGACTGCACTAACCATACCAGCTTAGTGGTTCACTATGGTGAACACAAATGTAGATACTTATATATAACGTGTGTATAGAGGGTATAAACAGCAAGAGGAGTAGGTTGGGAGCCGCCATTTTGGTGAAGGGCGGTGGCGTCATCTGCACGATTTATCACGTTGTTTACTGGTGACCATGATGTTGGGCACCATACCAGTTTACTTTTACAAGTATGGTGAATAAAACAGGTAGATATTTACATATAATGTGTGTATATAGCGTAATAATATTAGAATATTAGTGCGTCTGGTATTATATAAAATAATATTAGGAGAAATATTAGTGCGTCTGGCCTTGAGGGCGGCAGCCAGCTGTGTGAGAGTAGCTACGTCTTTGTGCCTTTACTCACCAAACAAGCTTAGATGTACAGTTATGGTGAACAAAACATTTAAATACTTATAACATCTGTATATAAAAGCAAAAACAGTATGGTGGGAGGAGAATGGTGGCAAGTCAGGTGAGGTGAGGTGAGGGAGGGAGGGAGTGGCAGCCAGTGGCGGCTGCCACTTCTTCCTTTTAACACTTTAGTGCGCGCGGCACTTGCTGAAAATAAAGCGGGTTGTGCGCGCGGCGTTCTGGGTGCTCAAGCGTAAACACAAAAAAGTGTATAATCTTTTCACGCTCCTAACATCAATTCTCGAGCTACGTTTTTCATTTTGGTATCAATGCGTTGGCAATAAAATTTTCTACAAGATCATATGCATAAAATGTCACCCAAGCATTTGGTATCCCACCACGAAATAAATAAACACGAAGATGACTCACCGTGACACCCAAACAGGAAGTAAATGTTCATACTCTTTCGTTTGTTGCCAGCCTCACAGTCATCCTACAGCGCTCATTTTGATATCACTGAACTCGCAATAGAATTCCCCACCCAGACATATGCCTATCAATGTCTAATTAT